TGTTATCTTCAATAATCTCTCAAATAGGAGACACACTACATGAATATTTTAAGATACGATCTCTTCTCTAAGATTGAGAAATTGCATTTTTAATAAATTAAACTACAATCTCGAAAATACTGAGTCAGAAAGACTCAGGGCGGAGTAGTAAAAAAGATTCTGAGGACATTTACATCATCCGTTTAGATTCTTGAAAGGAGAAAACATTGTTCTTCTGTTGCCTATCCTAAATCTACAAAGAAGTAAAAAGGAACTTACTCCCCCTTACATTTCTATAAAATCAAGAGAGTGATAGCGAGAGCCTTCCTCTCTACTGTGACGCACTTGGTAGGCGAGCGGTAAGGAACATCGGATCAAACGATGGTTTCTCCTACAAAGAGGGATGCAGGTACAGTTCCTGCCAAAGAGCAGATTTTCTTTGAGATTTGCCGAGTGTGCAGGCTGATAGATGTAATACAGTTTCAAGTACAAAAAAAAAAGTTAGGGCGTCTATTTCAAATATTAGCATCTTCTAATAATAACCTTTCAATAGAAATGTCGCCTTAAAAATAAATCCATTAATTCGTGTGTGTGTGTGTGTGTGTATATATATATATATATATATATATATATATATATATAATGAGAGATAGAGAAGATGGCATAATAAAGTCAGAGAGAAAGAGGCAAGCAATTAATAGAGAAAAAAGAAAAGATTAGAAAAAGACAGAATGAGATGGAGATGAAGCGAAATATACACGCAAGTATTGGCAGTCGGGTAAGATAATAAAATCTGGCGTTAATGTTGCGCCTCGTACGAGACTGGGTCTTCTTAATTTAGTGCTTTCTAATACGCAATCAACACGGACATTTGTCATGGTGGCAGAGGCATCATTAATATTGTGTACGTACTCTGTCTATTTCATTGGCACGGAGAGCAAGGCATACACTTTATGCTAGCTACTTCCTTTGAAGACAAACAGATCAAAAGGAAATGTAATAATCTTTTATGTCGGCACTGAAATAATCAGGAACAGCGGTGAGGGGGGGGGTGGAGTGAAAAGTTTCTAAAAGAGTGAGAGTGCTATCAAAAGAGGCAGATGACTGCATTGACGATTTAAGGTTGGATTTATGGTCTGTCTCAAGATAATCCATCTTAAATTGTGATCAGGTGGGATGTGGGGAGAACGGGTGAGGGTGTAGCAAGAGTAGCCTTGTGTCGTGTCCCTCTTTACAAAAACAAAACAAGCAAGACAAAAGAAGACCCGACAGAATTAGCGAGAGGAAACATGGACAATTACGAGCAATTCATTTTCAAGGCATTAAACTTTATATGCAAATCAAAGAGTTAATGACGGGATGATAGATATTCTTCTCGGCTTTGGTCTCCCGAAACAACTGTGCCGCGAGAATAAAGGTGGTTTCCTTCCTACAATGATTTAGCAAAGGAAAATAACACAGGCAAAGATCGTAACTAATTCTTTTAAGAGAAGCTAACCAAAAGACACCCATAAACAACACTTCACACCGGGTGAGAAGAAAACACAAGGGTATCCTGTTCTCACTGCGCTCACATATTCGTAGTATTTGAAGTAAAATGTTTAGCAAGAAAGAAACTTTCCATTTAGACTTTCTCTAGGTACTATCCCACTTTAGGACATTGGCAAACATCTAGCAATCCAGCACAATTTTCTTTGTTTCTAATGTTATTTTTCGGTCTTTTAATACGGTTACTGTAAAAATGTCTTTTTCTGTTGTCTGCCCAGATAGTTGAACTTTGACACTTGTTTAAATTTTAGCGTGCCCGAAATGTTAGTTCATATTACAGACTACCCTTTTACCCTACCACAATGCATTTAGTCTTCTTACCGTCCACACTTAGTCCTTTCTTCTTGCTTCCACTAACTACCTTATTTCATAATTCTTTCATTTTTTTTTTTTTTGTTCTGAATTTACCATCAACGCAATAGTCTAGAACACTGGTTCTCAACCATTTTTTTTAACCTATGGATCACTTTTCATTTTTTTAGGGTGTGGGGGTGGACCCCCATAACAATTCGGCGAAAAAAAAAAAAAAAAAAAAAAGAAGTTTATTTTATTTTTTACTAATAGATAAGTTTAGGAATTGTATTATTGAAATATCAACTGTATATGCTTTATTTTGAAGTAAAACTAATTTAATGAAATTAAAACTTGTATTTAACAACTAAATTTTATGGAACATTTATGTATACAAGTAAAATAACTGTTTTTTGGTGTGGATCCCTGTAATGTGACCTGGACTCGAGTTGATAACCACTGGTTTAAAACATGCAGCATCTGCAGTCCTTAGGTGGTGATCTAATCGGATCGTCATGTATTCTGAATTTTATTGAAAGTCTATTTCTTTCAATGCACAAGAATCATGCTTGTGAAAAAGTCGATTGTAAAAATGATTAAATCTGGAATAGTTACAGACTCTTCAGTTGCTGAACAAAACAAAACATTCAAAACTGAAGATTTCCGGACAGTTTCAGGAATTATAGACGAAAATAAAAGCAAAGTTTATTTTCATTCATAGTTTCGAAAAAGAAAATAAATATGTATTTAATCAAATGTATTTATTTTAGTAAAACCGTACGTCAATATTCCATTTCCTTGAAAAGGAAGACATTTATCACAAGCATAAAACTAAGTGATATCATTTCCAAGATGGCCGAATAAAAAACTGAAATCCTCACCAGCAACCGGAGTCATATAAATGAATTAATTTTGTTCTCCAAGGGCAGCTTTCACCAATATTTTTGCTTGTAACCTGTAACCATTGTCCAAGCTACAATGTGATTTATAAATTTTAACCTAAACACACGCAAGTATACATTCATGATGGCAAACAATATATTAAATTGATCAAGACAATCCGAATTGATACAAAATGAAAGTATTTCCAAATTGTCGTTGATAGAAAGCGCCATTTCAGATGTTAGGGAGGTAAGGTCATCCACAAGAGACTTTTATTGGAAAAATAATTTTATCAAGAGAGGGTTTGGAGGTATGTCGGTTAAGAGATTGCGTTCTGGAGTTACCCATGAGCCATGATTTTTCGGCAGTGAAAGAGATGGGCCGGAAGAGGATTGGATTGCGGGGAGGGAGTGTGGTATATTGTTTATTGTAAATGAGTAGAAGGGAGAATTGGCCGTAAAAGGAGAAAGAAATCATTATGGATCATTACGCTTGGAAGAGAATCAAATAAATTATTATTATTATTATCATCGCTGAACAACAGAGAGGCTAGCAAATCCGAAGAGAAGATTGCATCTGAACAATGAACACTTAAAGCAATTAGCAACAATTACTATATTGCTGGTTGAATACAAATGTAATGTTTATTAAGCATTGTTTAAGATTTTGTTAAGTAAGCAGAGCAAATCCCTGAACATACAGATGCTAATAAACACAGAGACATACTCACATTGAATAAATGAAATAAAGTTGGCTTTTGCAAAAGCTGACACACACATATACATGCAGAACATAAAAACCATGTGGAACATCGACATTTTAATGTAGACACTTTGTTTTGCAAAATACAATTTATTAATCTGCTTTTTCTGCACCCCCAGCAGAAACTGAAAAACAAAAAAACAAAAAAGAAACAAAAACAATGTCCATTTGAAGGAGGCAAAACACGAAGTTGTTTATGAAAGGATTGCGTCGGATGGAATTTCAGTTGGCTTCCAAACAATAATCTAAAGCAGTAAACAGAAAAAAGAAGCCGGAGAAGAACAATAATAAATTTATGATATGTTTCAAAACAAAATGTCTACATTTAAAACACGGAGCCTGTTATGTGTGATGTCTAAACATAACAGTTTGTGCGTGAGTGCCTATTGTATGAATCAAAATGAAGGACAACATTTTCATATAATACATTTATTCAATCAAAGAGACCCCTTGAATATCCTGTGTGTATATGACGCGCGTACACTGCGACCATCGGTTTTCCGATGTCTGATAATTCGACACATCCATTAATCCGGACTAGATCATGCACGATCACTTAAATTGCTTACTAATCTTGCGTTTAACCACTTAAGCCTGATTTAATCTTCTAAAAGACTTAATGCTTTAAAGATACGAGATGCTAATAATTAGTTGGTCAGAAGCGCATTAGCTTGACGTGAATTTGTTCCGTCCAAAAATTTGGATAGCTCAGAAACAAAGAACACTGTAAATTCTGCCTTGTGTACGTAATATTGTGTAGGAATGTACTATTTTTGTTCAAATAACTGAACAATATAAGTACTGCTTTGTTAAAAAAAAAAAATAACAAAAAGAAAAACAAAGTTATGTTCACTTTGTACATGGTCCAAGAGCCACTCGAGGTAGAAGTTTACTGAGGGAGTTTGCTGCATGACAGAGTAAGAGTTGCAGTTTATGAGGATAAGTGAGAAAGATAACGAAATATTAAATTTGTATTTAACCAAAAGGGAATATTCTTAGATGCCTAATACGGGGGGGGGTATTAATAATCGGGGTGGGGGTTGGAATTTTGTAAATATTTAATAAACGGGGCAAATGGAAATTCATTTAAAAGACTCAAAAACGCGAAATTAATAAAAGGGGGGGGGGTTCTTACAAAAATTCGAGGCGGGGGTAGTAAAATTTCCTGCAAAAAATAAACGTCAATTCTCGTCTATTGGACACTTAATTGTTACTGTTTTCAATCTTGAATGTTCAACTGTGCAATCTTCCCGATTCCTTATCTGTTATTGTTTACGGCTTATCGACCTTTTGCAGGTTATTTAAAGTCAGAAAATATTTTTAGATTATAAGATTTATTTTTTTTAAGATAATAATCGTTTAATGATACAAGTCTTACTAATTAACCCATAGCTGGGTGGGAGAAAGGAGGTTGATTTATACCTTTCCCCAAGGATATTTACGCGTAAATGAATATAACAAACCCAACATAAATTGGAACTCGACTCTCCGATTAACAATACCGAGCTATTATCCATTACACCACCCGCGCATCCAAGCTTACAGCACCTGGTATTACCAAGCTGTGACCCATCTAGGTACTGATCAGACTCGACATTGCTTAACATCGGTGATCGTATGGGAACTCGACTCTCGAATTAACAATTCCGAGTCATTATCCATTACACCATCCGCACATCCAAGCTTACAGCACCCCGTATTTCTAAGCGGTCACCCATCTAGGTATTGACCAGGCTCGACGTTGCTTAACATCGGTGATCGTACGGGAACTCGACAATCCGATTAACAATTACGAGCCATTATCCATTACACCAGACGCACATCCAAGCTTACAGCTTCCGAGTATTCACAAGCATTCATTCATCAAAGCTTGACGTTGCTTAACTTCGTTGATTGTAAGGGTACCAGTGTTTCAACGTGATATAGCCATAAGTCTTGTCTCTGTTAGGTAAAATGAACGCCAGATTTTAAAGGGACCCTGAAGAGGAGAGAGTGTAAAGGAAATGGGTGTAAAGATTAGTTTTTTTTTTCATAGGGAACCACTGCACTTAACTGCTGACACTAAAAGTGCAACAAATGACTGACCACATGCTCCCTCTCTATATATATCTGGTGGTGGGTGGGTTGCAACAGAAATCGAGAAAAACAAACCTTTTCAAGTTCAGTGCAGATCTGACATTTTAGACTGCCAAAAGAATGACCTGTTGACATGATCTCAATTGACAAAGTGGATTATGAAGAAATGGTGGATGTCATCTCCCGTCGAAATGTGTACTCCCCTCCACTCATACTCTGCTAGTGGAAGGCAGTTGCAAAGAGATGGATGCAGGAAAGAGAGAGGAAACAGTTTGCAAACAGCGGAAGAACGGTAAGAATTAAAAAAAAAAAAAGACAGAAATGTGGGGGGGGGAGATATCATAAGATGGCGGGTGAAGAGGCTGGAGAGGATATATTTACCCAATCATCAAAACGAAGACATCAGATTATCATCGACATATAGATCTTTGTACTACCAGACAATCTATGCATTTGCAAGAGAAATAAGCCGATGAAATAACTTGTTTCTTCCTTGCTGTTTTGATTTTATAAATTTTAACTCTCGATTTCATTAAACTAACATTTAATTCTTATTACAAAAATGGCAAACTCGTCGTCGTCGTTATTAAAGTAGTTGCAGTTATGGCAATCTGCTGAATCATCTCCGTCTTTATGGCTGCTAAGATTTTTTTTTCAGACATTTTCGTCACAGGATCCCTTTTTGCAATATTATTATCAGTATTTATTCCCTTATTGAGTTTTCATTCTTCGAGTGTAAGATTAAGTGGCAGAAATGAACCCAATGTTACAATATTTTATATTCTAACAGTTTTCGCCAATGCTATCATCTACAGAATTCTGACTCTTCTGATTTTCACTTCTTGTAGCCTTTTTCCTAGGCTCTTTGGAACCGTTCCCAGCGTTCCGATACCGATTGGCATGACTGTCACCCCGATGCTCTGTATTTTCGTCAGCTTCCTAGCAAAGTCGAAATAACTACTATTACAAGGATTGTCATAGATTTTTTTCCCCCAATAATTTTTAATGTTCCCCTGGGAATCTTAATTAGAATTAAATTATCCCCCGATTAAAGATTCATATAATGTAATTGGAACCCATAAGTTGGCATCAAACCCCAAAGACTTTTTTTTTTCTTTCTTTGGAACCTCTGGGTAAAGATCGAGTCTCGAGCTGATTCTAACAGTATCACTTTTAACCACAAATCATACAGACCTCTAAACAAGGTGGGAGGTGGCTGTTGCATCAGAAGGATTGCACATGGGAAAAGTTATCACTGATGATGAATGAAAGCAAATCACCTCTCCAACCCACATTCCTAGTTTGAGATGAAAACAGAAATTAATTAAATCAGATTACAAGATAGGGAGTTATGGTGGGGGTGCCTAAACACTTCATGATCAGAATTGGAAATCTACTTGTGAAGCGAAGCAGTTAATATTAAATGGCTGTAGAAATATTTCGGATATCAGAAGAGATGAAAGTTGCGAATATTTATGTTAATTCAAAATCTATTAAATGCTTTGCCAACTGTAACAAATAGATACTCCAATATAGATTTTTTCTTTCTTCAAAAGTATGTATTTTTTTTTTTTTTTGCAATATTCTTTAAGAAAACTATATTGAGATTTGTACTCCAGAAAATTTTAAATCTTTCAAATATGCAAAGACACCCACTCTTCCTTTGGTTTTAATAATAATAATAATAATAATAATAATAAATAAATAAAAAAGTCCCCAAATTTCCAATTGCAGTAAACATCTTTTGATGATAAAAAAAAATCTCAATTCCACGTTATTGATAAGGTTTAAATTTTCCTAAATGGTGTAGTGCTGAAAGGTTCTCGGTCGCATTAAGTAACCCATCTAAAAAGATGTCTGTGTTTTTAGGTCATATTTAGGAAGTGGGTCGAACCAAAAAGTTTTTTCAGTCTTTTCCAAAATCACCAGTAGTTAATTTCTGGAAATAGTTGTTTTGTTACAAAGTACCATTGTTTCCTTGAGACAAAACTAGTACTTGAACCTTCAAACTTTTGTTCCCACAAGTTTAGTAGACCACAACAGATGAGCTGCCGTAGACCACAGCAAACTAGCCATGAAACGATCAATTAATATATGAAAAACGAAAAGAAAATTCGAAAGATTTTTACTTTCTTTTCATCTATGCTTGAACCCTTTTCAGATATTGTAAAGAGAATTTCATCATGCAAATGTGTTGCAGTTTTGCATGCAGGCAATTAATTCTATTTGCCTTTGCTCATCAACAAAAGAGACAAGAGAAACTTCCAAAAGGAAATGGTAACTTCTGGCTAATCAGTTGCTACAAATTCTATAAATCCTTTCTTATTGAAATCTCCTGCTGTCAAATCACCAATGTAAGAACATTTTATTTTGTTTGAAAGGTGAGCCAAACAACGGGGGCCTTTAGGGAAATTGGATCGAAACACAAAGGACGGCCTCAACAAAAAGAAAGAAGTTATGGCTCTCCACAGCTTTCTTTTTCTTTTCTTTTTTTTTTAATATTTGTGAATTATGTTCTTTGGAAAGATAAGCATTCGTTTTCCTTTGCATTCTCCATGGTTTTGAATTCAGATTTGAGACTGGATGCTCTCTCAAAGCTAGATAACCCAGTCTGCTTACTATTTACCTACAGATGCCAAGTGAGGATTGGATTAAATGGTCCAGCGTTTTTCTAAAAAGCATTAATGTGAAGTAAATACAACAGACTTGGCTGAAATTTGAATTATGTCCTCTGATTACATTTCCCAAGTCTATAACCGTTACTGATGGCATTAGGTGTATTAAAGCATTATAGGCTGATAACTAATATACTTTTGATGATCAAATTGAAAAAAAAAAAAAACCAAAAAAAAAACCAAAAAAACAACAACATACAAATAAAATACACAGTAGGGAGCTGAAAAGTTTTCGATTCGGCCAAAAACCATTACAAAATGTTAAGTCAGATTTTGGAAAGTGGGTAAAGTTGAGAACCTTTCAGCATCTCTTTGAAGGACGAGATTTGTATAATTTTTTTTTTTTATAATCAATTTGCCCCAAGCAAGGCGATAATGCCACTAAGACGTAAAGAGCTACTAGGAGTGAAAGAGAATAAGAATACTTTAGAAGAAATTGGAAACCGAATCGTAAACAGAGGATAAATCTCTATTCCTTTTCTCGAGTAGGTTTATCATTATTAGTAATTATCACAGACACACACACACAAACAAACTGGTAGAAATATTCAGAACCTGTGTCAGTGAAGAGAACATACTGTCCTTTTATCACTTTTACAAAACTGAAGAAAAGAAGTGAAGGATGTTTGGATGGAAAAAAAAAATGGCAATGATAGATTTTAATTTATTTTCAGGTTCGATTTTCATAACAAAATTGACAAGTTCTCTGTAACTAATAAGATCCTTTTTTTTATTATTTTGACAAGCTCAAGTTTGTATCCACAACCTTCAAGAGAAAACTGTAATTTATATATAAAACACAATGTAACGGTCATGAAATCAGATCTCCCTGTTGTAGTAATTAAATATTCCATTATTATGACAACAAGAGGCATTATCCAATGCTATCAGCGAACGCACTTTGCTTTACCATAACAGCGGAAAGTCTAAGTAAGTAGGTGATACCATGCTGCTAATACATTGATTTTTTATTTCTTTTGTTTCGTGTTAGCTTTCAATTAATATTTTTACTTTTCTTTCTTACATGCGACTTAATCAAGGAGATAAAAATCTGGGATCACTTACTTGGGAAATCTAACCAATGAAATTGCGAAATTAAAAATTGCTGCCACTTCTTGACAGTACGGGTACATTATTATTATAATAGAGAAAGAAAAAAAAAAACTATTTCTCTTTATTTTACCACGTAGTTAAAAAAAAAAAAAAAAAAAATTCTTGTATTTGAAGAAGCAATCTTTTCACGTTATTCCCTGACCAAACCTGCAAAATGTCCCCGGGTAAGAGAAAGTGAACAAGAACAAATTCATTTTTTCTTGAGCAAAGATTCAACTTTTTTTTTACTCTTAAGCATTGTGTTATTTCTAAAAAGATAAATATTGCTGACGTTCTTAGGTCAGTGCTAAATTTCAGAAGTTTCTATGCAGCAAAGCTAACAATGCCCGATCATTTTTCATTGTACTGATTACAGTGAAGGGGGGGGGGTTTAGAACACCAGCAAGAAGACGGATAAAGTGCTTTAACATTGTAACACCAGGTGAAACTGTAAAGAAATGCAGGTGCAAAAAAAAGTCCACCTGAGAAACTGAAACCCCAATCTCTCTGCACCTCTTGCCACCATCAGTAACAGGTGGGGGGGGGGACATGACCATTAACAACAGGTGGTTGGTAGCCCTGTTTTCAATACGTAATTGTAGGGAAACAGCCAGGTACAGCTATAACTCGTAAGATTAGGAGTGTGTATATATATATATATATATATATATATATATATATATATGTGTGTGTGTATGTGTGTGTGTGTGTGTGTATAGATACATAGATAAAGTATTTACACGTTGCTAGGTAAATAATTACAGTGTATGAAAGACTTGCCTCAG